TTCCCCCTTTTTCAGATAAGACCGAACTATTTCTGCTACTTTAAACATTTTTTCTTTTTTTTTACCAATGACGTTCTACGAGACAAGAATTGTCGAACTTTGACAAAAAAAAAAAATATTAAGTGAAAGTCAGAAATACATTCTTATGGGAAAAAAACATTTTTTTTTAAATAAGACTTTTACGAATTCTAAAATTTTGGCGTTGTTTTTTCACACGATGATTAAAAGCCATCTTATCCCTTGTCTTGAGAAAGAAACGGAAAGTAAAGAAAAGAAAGAGAATGGGACATTGACAGCTTATGTTTACTTATGTTAGTTAAGTGTGACACAAGGCAAAATAATAGAAAGGGCTTTTGACTGAACTGTGAAAATCCTCCTTGTTAGCCTTAAAAATCAGCATCCACAGCCCCCCAATGATTGATGGTTTCAGTGTTAATCTGCAGCTGAACATCTGATTAGTTCCATATACGCATCTGGTTTTAAATTCGGAGTATATATTCATTCTTAGCCTAAATGGTGAGATTTAATCATGGTTATGTGGCTTTTAATATTATCACTGCATTGGTTCCGTAGCTAAGGAACCCACTTTACTCAATTTTGATAGATGGTTGCTATTCCGCCCCTTGAGAATTATCATGCCTAATCCTGTTGTGTATATAGCCACACCCCTCATCCGAAAAGCCGATAATCTGACCAAACGTACTGGGTTACATGGTAGCATTAGAAATTTTAGAGTTCACTCCTTTTTTTATTTTTATTGCTTAATTAATTTACTTCAAAGAAAACGACTAAAGCATAAGAGGCAACTGGAAGTGAAAGACTTGGAAAATACTTTAGAAAGTTCCGGAAGAAATTTTTTTTTAAATCGGTATCACCCCATGCAAGGCAGTAAATCCACTAGGGGTTAAAGATCGTGGAAAAATTAGGAACGAAAACATTAATAATGAGCGAGAAGAGGAAAGTGTAATCAGCAGGACCGTCGATAGCAATTGATATTGCATTTAACTTTGGCAGATTAAAGTTGGCTGGAAAACACATAAGCCAGAAGAGAGCTCCACAAGCGAGAAATGTGAGAAAAGAAAATGTTAGCGTAGAATTTGCGGTTACATCTAGTCAGCTGAGCTGTAAATTGATAAGATTTCGACGCTAGTCTAGTGCTGTGCTTATATTCACAAAGTCTAGATACCATCGCGGGGAGCTCATCCAAAAAAAACTACCATGGAAGTAGTTATAGAAAAAAGAGAGGCAACTTTGCGGTGGTGGGAAAATGACTGAAGCCGAGGTGCTAGATCAAGACCAATAATATTGCTGATTCTTCTTTGGATTTTATCAAGGGTCTCTAGATATATTGCGGGAGCACCGGGCCTTATGCGGTAGCAATATTCTAAGCATTGATGAATGGTAGACTTGTAAATATGCACGATTGATTAAGGAGAGAAAAAATTCTCTAGCATGATACAGTGAACTTTCTTAGCAGCTGACCTAGCAATAGATTCAATATAGTCTTTTCACTTCATGTCTGCTGAGGACGTTAGCCCGAGAAGGCACAATATTCTAAGCCTGGACGCATGATAGACTTATAGATATGTAAGATAGATTTTGCAGAGAAAAATTGTCTCGGCCGTCACAGTGAACTAACTTTCTTAGCAGCTGACCTAGCAATAGATTCAATATAGTTTTTTCACTTCATGTCAGCCGAGAATGTTAGCCCGTGTAGACGCAATGAGTTACTTTCCTGGAAGTTAGAAAGGGGTCTCTCAGATGATTAATAGATAGCAGTTTCGTTTTGGAAACGTTAAAATGGACAAGCCATCCTTTGGATTTTATCAATGAGCTCAAGGTAAATAGCAGGATCACCGGACCATACGTGGCAACGATGTTCTAAGCATGGACGAATGGTAGACTTATAGATATATAAGATAGATTCTGGGGAGAAAAAGATACGAAAAGATGGAAGACAAAATAAGGAAATGAAGAAAGAAATGAAAATGGGGAAAAGACAGATACGAAAACAAAGAAAAAGAAAAAAAAATTGAAAGAAAAAGAAGAAAAGGGATAAATAGCTCCCCTTTTTCGTAAGTCCTGTGTGGAGTATGAACTGGACAATCGGAGAATTTGTCTAATATCGATGAAAAAAAATAAAAAAGCGCCATCTGTATCTGTCTATATTTCTGAGATGAGGTATTATGTACACTATTTACATTGTTCGAACTATTGTCCTCATCTTTGTTGCCATATTTATTACAACCTTTCGGCCCTTCAGTATCTGTCTATATTTCTGAGATGAGGTATTATGTACACTATTTACATTGTTCGAACTATTGTCCTCATCTTTGTTGCCAAATTTATTACAACATTTCGGCCCTTCAGTATCTGCCTATATTTCTGAGATGAGGTATTATGTACACTGTTTACATTTTTCGAACTATTGTCCTCATCTTTGTTGCCATATTTATTACAACATTTCGGCCCTTCAGTATCTGTCTATATTTCTGAGATGAGGTATTATGTACACTATTTAAATTAGTCGGACTATTGTCCTCATCTTTGTTGCCATATTTATTACAACGTTTCGGCCCTTCAGTATCTGTCTATATTTCTGAGATGAGGCATTATGTACACTATTTACATTGTTCGAACTATTGTCCTCATCATTGTTGCCATATTTTATTACAAACATTTCGGCCCTTCAGTATCTGTCTATATTTCTGAGATGAGGTATTATGTACACTATTTACATTATTCGGACTATTGTCCTCATCTTTGTTGCCATATTTATTACAACGTTTCGGCCCTTCAGTATCTGCCTATATTTCTGAGATGAGGTATTATGTACACTATTTACATTGTTCGAACTATTGTCCTCATCTTTGTTGCCATATTTATTACAACATTTCGGCCCTTCAGTATCTGTCTATATTTCTGAGATGAGGTATTATGTACACTATTTAAATTAGTCGGACTATTGTCCTCATCTTTGTTGCCATATTTATTACAACGTTTCGGCCCTTCAGTATCTGTCTATATTTCTGAGATGAGGCATTATGTACACTATTTACATTGTTCGAACTATTGTCCTCATCATTGTTGCCATATTTATTACAACATTTCGGCCCTTCAGTATCTGTCTATATTTCTGAGATGAGGTATTATGTACACTATTTACATTATTCGGACTATTGTCCTCATCTTTGTTGCCATATTTATTACAACGTTTCGGCCCTTCAGTATCTGCCTATATTTCTGAGATGAGGTATTATGTACACTATTTACATTGTTCGAACTATTGTCCTCATCTTTGTTGCCATATTTATTACAACATTTCGGCCCTTCAGTATCTGTCTATATTTCTGAGATGAGGTATTATGTACACTGTTTACATTTTTCGAACTATTGTCCTCATCTTTGTTGCCATATTATTACAACATTTCGGCCCTTCAGTATCTGTCTATATTTCTGAGATGAGGTTGTTATGTACACTATTTAAATTAGTCGGACTATTGTCCTCATCTTTGTTGCCATATTTATTACAACGTTTCGGCCCTTCAGTATCTGTCTATATTTCTGAGATGAGGCATTATGTACACTATTTACATTGTTCGAACTATTGTCCTCATCATTGTTGCCATATTTATTACAACATTTCGGCCCTTCAGTATCTGTCTATATTTCTGAGATGAGGTATTATGTACACTATTTAAATTATTCGGACTATTGTCCTCATCTTTGTTGCCATATTTATTACAACGTTTCGGCCCTTCAGTATCTGCCTATATTTCTGAGATGAGGTATTATGTCTATTTACATTGTTCGAACTATTGTCCTCATCTTTGTTGCCATATTATTACAACATTTCGGCCCTTCAGTATCTGTCTATATTTCTGAGATGAGGTATTATGTACACTATTTAAATTAGTCGGACTATTGTCCTCATCTTTGTTTTATTATTTATTACAACGTTTCGGCCCTTCAGTATCTGTCTATATTTCTGAGATGAGGCATTATGTACACTATTTACATTGTTCGAACTATTGTCCTCATCATTGTTGCCATATTTATTACAACATTTCGGCCCTTCAGTATCTGTCTATATTTCTGAGATGAGGTATTATGTACACTATTTACATTATTCGGACTATTGTCCTCATCTTTGTTGCCATATTTATTACAACGTTTCGGCACTTCAGTATCTGCCTATATTTCTGAGATGAGGTATTATGTACACTATTTACATTGTTCGAACTATTGTCCTCATCTTTGTTGCCATATTTATTACAACATTTCGGCCCTTCAGTATCTGTCTATATTTCTGAGATGAGGTATTATGTACACTATTTACATTATTCGGACTATTGTCCTCATCTTTGTTGCCATATTTATTACAACATTTCGGCCCTTCAGTATCTGTCTATATTTCTGAGATGAGGTATTATGTACACTATTTACATTATTCGGACTGTTGTCCTCATCTTTGTTATCAACATTTCTATTCAGTATCTGTCTATATTTCTGAGATGAGGTATTATGTACACTATTTACATTATTCGGACTATTGTCCTCATCTTTGTTGCCATATTTATTACAACGTTTCGGCCCTTCAGTATCTGTCTATATTTCTGAGATGAGGTATTATGTACACTATTTACATTATTCGGACTATTGTTCTCATCTTTATCGCCATATATATTACAACGTTTCGGCCCTTCATTATCTGTCTATATTTCTGAGATGAAGTATTATGTACACTATTTACATTATTCGGACTATTGTCCTCATCTTTGTTGCCATATTTATTACAAAGTTTCGGCCTTTCAGTATCTGCCTATATTTCTGAGATGAGGTATTATGTACACTATTTACATTATTCGGACTAGTGTCCTCATCTTTGTTGCCATATTTATTACAACATTTCGGCCCTTCAGTATCTGCCTATATTTCTGAGATGAGGTATTATGTACACTATTTACATTATTCGGACTATTGTCCTCATCTTTGTTGCCATATTTATTACAACATTTCGGCCCTTCAGTATCTGCCTATATTTCTGAGATGAGGTATTATGTACACTATTTACATTATTCGGACTATTGTCCTCATCTTTGTTGCCATATTTATTACAACGTTTCGGCCCTTCAGTATCTGTCTATATTTCTGAGATGAGGTATTATGTACACTATTTACATTATTCGGACTATTGTCCTCATCTTTGTCACCATATTTATTAGAACGTTTCGGCCCTTCAGTATCTGTCTATATTTCTGAGATGAGGTATTATGTACACTATTTACATTATTCGGACTATTGTCCTCATCTTTATCGCCATATTTAATACAACGTTTCGTCCCTTCATTATCTGTCTATATTTCTAAGATGAGGTATTATGTACACTATTTACATTATTCGGACTATTGTCCTCATCTTTATCGCCATATATATTACAACGTTTCGGCCCTTCATTATCTGTCTATATTTCTGAGATGAAGTATTATGTACACTATTTACATTATTCGGACTATTGCCCTCATCTTTGTCGCCATATTTATTTCAAAGTTTCGGCCGTTGTACGCTCCAGCCTTCTTCTGGTGGTTGGAATGTCGAACTGAACCCTTTATTTTGTTCACTGGGGTAGATTGTTCTAGTTCCACGTGCCATGCTTTTAATGGATGTCAGTTATCAGTTATCTCCTGTTAATTCCCCTGTGAATGTTCTCCGCTGCCTTAACCGAGTGTTGTACTCACACTTTTTCGGTCCTGTCACTGGATCTAACCAATGGTTGCTGAAGACATTATAATACCCAGAAACTCATACCCAGATGTCCTCAAGGACACATGGCACAGTGGATAAAGGCGTTAGTTAGATCCAGTGACAAAACCCAAAGAGTGTGAATTCAATACCCGGTTATGGCAGTGGAGAACTTGTAGAGGGGAATTAACAGGAGATAACTGATAACTGACATCCATTAAACATGGCACGTGGAACTAGCGCAGTCTACCCCAGTGGGCGAAATAAAGGGTTCAGTTCGACATATCAACCAATTGAAAAAGCTCGGAGCATACATCGGCCGAAATAAATATGGCGACAAAGTTGAGGAGAATAGTCCGAATAATGTAAATACCGTCACTTGTGTCATTCAAATTGTTTTGGTGGTGATTATACCGAGTGACAGACATTTCCTTTCACCTACATTTTTGTTGCCAAGTGATCACTAAACGAATCTAGGCAGGGGGTTACACAGTAAGAGCTAAGAGATACAGTATATGAGGCTATTGGGGAGGACGCTCCGGTCTTTATGTCTATAAATGTGAATATAACAATGAAGATGAGGATAACAGTCCGAATGATGTAAATAATGCAATTATTCATAATACCTCATCTCAAAGATATAGACAGATATATAGAGAGACATAGACATAAAGGCCGGAGCGTACAACGGTCGAAACATTGTGAATATGGAAATGAAGATGAGGATAACAGTCCGAATAATGTAAATAATGCAAGTAATCATAATACCTCATCTCAGAGATATAGACAGATATATAGAGAGACATAGACATAAACGCCGGAGCGTACAACGGCCGAAACGTTGTGATATGGCAATGAAGATGAGGATAACAGTCCGAATAATGTAAATAATGCAAGTAATCATAATACGTCATCTCAGAGATATAGACAGATATATAGAGAGACATAGACATAAAGGCTGGAGAGTACAACGGCCGAAACGTTGTGAATATGACAATGAAGATGAGGATAACAGTCCGAATAATGTAAATAATGCAAGTAATCATAATACCTCATCTCAGAGATAAAGACAGATATATATATAATACCTCATCTCAGAGATATAGACAGATGCTAAATAATTTAATTCGTTTGAACATCTTCCATGGGAATAGGTTATAGCTTATGCAAGTTGACTGGTCAATCAATCAAACAGAAAAATAAGAATGATATATAGTGTGTTTCAAGCGTGTGTGTCACATTCTAAGTACCGATAATATATATGTTCCTAATTCCGCCACACCCTATAATCCTTTGTGTTTTAGTGACTTTACTGACTTACATGGGGTGATAATGATTTGGGAAAAAAAAGGTAATTGTATGCTTTCAATTACAGATATTTTATATAATTTTATACTTTCAACTTAAAGGTATGTTTTTAGATATATATTTTGTAGATCAAAAAATGTATTGTTGCTTATTTTATAATAAATTGTACTGATGATTTTCGTTTGGGGTCTACTACTTGCTCATAGCCTGGTCCCTAACCGATGCTAACACCCTGGGTCCGGATGGACCTGGAAACAACACCTATTAAGAGGTGGTTCCATGCTCCTCAGTGCCCCAATCTTTCGATGAAAGCCTTGCTGCAAGATGAAATTTATTGTCATGCGCAGAATGACAACATAGTTGGGTCTTTTCATTAGTAGGAATGATATATATATATATATATATATATATATATATATATATAATGAAATGAACAAAGCCCGACAATTTTAAACATTTTTATGTTTATATATTCTTTTTATAGATACAACGGTTTTATAATAAACAGTATTTATAACATTTACCGGTCTGAATATCCGTTAAATTTTCATGGAATATATTCGTTCTCCGACAGCCTATACGGAATTGTCATTTAGCCTGACGTGCTCTTAACCGATCGAGCCACAGAGAATCGTTCCTTTGACAAGGTCGAATTTACTGCCTTTAAACTTCAATCTTCCATGAATCTCTCACGTACATTCATATCTGCTTCAAGCGTATCCAAATGTAATCAAATGACGTCACACATTATGAAATGGACAAAGTCCGACAATTATTTTAAGACGTTTTTATGTTCATACATTCTTTTTTATAGATAAAAATATTTAAGTAAATGCTCTGTTTATAATAAACAGTATTAATAACATTTAACGGCCTGAATATCCGAGAAATTTTCATAGAAAATATTCGTCCTCCGCCAAGAATCGAATCTGTATCCTATACGTAACCGTCATATAGCCTGACGTGCCTTTAACCGATTGAGCCATAGAGGATCGTTCGGTTAGCAAGGTCAATTTAACTGTCTTTAAACTACAATCTTCCATGATTCTCTCACGTACATTCACATCTGCTCATGAGCAGATGTGAAAGTATGTGATAGAGAGCGTAATGTAAGCAAATGACGTCGCACATTATGAAATAGACGAAGTCCGACAATTATTTTATGACATTTTTATGTTTATACATTCTTTTTAAATGTTTTTCATGCTTATTTTATTATTATTCAAAATACTCATTGTTCTTTCGTGATCTTTCTACTGTCAAACATAATACTCAGTGTACTATTACGTTCTGTCTTCTGATTTTCAAAATATTCAATGTTCTGTTATGCTCTTTTGACTGTTATCCAAAATACTCATTGTCCTTCTGTGCTCTTTTTTTGTTATCTGAGAGTATCAAAGTTCTTTTGTCCTCTTTTTGCTGTTATGTAAAATAATCAATTTTCTGTTGTGCCCTTTTTTTACTTCTTGTTCTCTTAGTATTGTATCACAGCTGAGAAGGTTTATGTTTATCTTAGAAGTGAATTATTTCTTTCCCAAACGAATCAAGCTTACCTATTAGTTTAAATTATAACATCTACTCCGGGTGTTTCAAATAATAGTTATGTTAGATTTATACGAGGTCTAATAAAAAAAAATGCCCAGGATACTAGCTACTTATTTTAAATAATAGTTTAGCAGACTATTATTTTAAGGGGAAATGTATCTCGGCTCGGATGTCAACCTCCGGGGTCAGATGTTAGCCATAATAGGATAGTCGATTTTGATTAGCTGAGCTATTATGGGAAATATAGATAAGAGAAAAGTTTCATGTGTTGGTTCTTACCCATCAAACGATGTAGACGTGTTATATTTCGTGTCCGAAACGGCTCCCCAGTGAGTTGGGGAGTGACCCCCCACTGGATAGTTAGATAATTTACATGTAACAAAAATAGTTAAGTTAAATTTCTCTGTGTTTGTAGTCTTTCATTACGGAAGCAAAACAATTACCGATCGCCGGCCGACCTATGCAACAATTAATGGAGTTATCAAAGTAAGAAATTTTAAATGAAACTTTAAATAACTAGGATCTAAAGATGTGTTGGAAATGTCACAAACACATTGTTGATATTAGAAGCAATAAACATTTTGTCGGCATTAAAAAACCCATTGAGGCTGATGTGCCGTAAAACACAATAAACCAAACCAAACCAAACCGAAACATTGCTAAGAGCTACAAAGAGTAAGAAGTAGTGGAGAGCCGTGATCAACCTGTCTAACGAGCTTGTGTATATGCATGGCAGAACAATGAATGGGTGTGATGGTGGAAAGACAATCGTTGCTCACAGCTACAAAGGATAGAACGTAGTGGAGAGCCATGATCAACCTACCTAACGAGCTGTGTAAATGGATGGTAGAACAAGGAGTGGGAGGGATAGAAAAAAAGACAAGCATTACTAAGAGTTACCAAAGATAGAAAGTAGTGGAGAGCCATGATCAACCAACATAACCAGATTGCTAACTAGCCAGCAGAGTTGAAACTGAAAACATTTAAACTCAGAAATGAAAGTCCATGTGGTGACATTAGTTCTTCACACAGTCATCTAGATCGATTTTATTATTTTTTACGGCTTATCAACCTTTTACAGGTTATTTAAAGTCAGAAAATATTTCTATATTGCAAGAATTTGCGGAGATAATATTTATTGATATAAGTCCTACTAATTAATCCATAGCTGCGAAGAGAAGAGATTGATTGGTAAATTTCCAATGATTATTTGCGCGTAAAAGAATATAACGAACCTGATTGGAATTGGTACTCTGGTCTTTGATTAATCCGAGCGTTTTTCCATTATACATATCGCATATCTAAGCTTACAGCACCTGGTATTCCCAAGCGGTCACCCATCTCGATACTAACCGGGTTCGATGTGGCTTAAGTTCGGTGGTCGGACGATAATTGGTGTTTCAAAGTGATGGAGTCCCAGCCATCTCCAAGGCGATACAAATGATTAAAACTGAACCTAGCAACTGTTGCTATAAAAGGAACGATTTCTCTATCACTGCTGTGCCATTCTCAATTCTTTCGAAGATGTCTATAACGATTAAGATAAAGTGAACGCAATATTAAAGATAGCTATGTCGCCTTTCAAGCGGCCTCCTATCATATTTATCTTCGGAAATTTTGTGCGTCTTCATATCTGACCTGGCAACCATATCCATATTTAATTTCTTTTCCTATCGGGACATTTTCCTTGACTATGCCACCATTCTTTCTTCCTATCAGTAGGATGAGGATTGTCGGATTAATTTTTATTGATTTTCAATGCAGTCCTATCATAAAACCATTAGCAATGCTTTTACAATAGGCGTATTCTTTCCCTAATGCTTGTAATCATTCCTGACCACTGACAATCCCTTTCTTCCTGATTTTCAACGCATTTCTATAGTAAAATAATTACCAATGAATTTCCATTGTACATATATAAGTCCTATTCTATCAGTAAAACTTCTAATCATTCCTGACCACTGACAATCCCTTTCTTCCTGATTTTCAATGCATTTCTATGGTAAAATAATTACCAATGAATTTCTATTATACATATAATAACCTTATTCTATCAGTAATGCTTACCTACATTCCTGACCACTGACAATCCCTTTCTTCCTGATTTGCAATGTATTCCTATAGCAAAATCATTAGCAATGCATTTACATTCAGCATATTCAATAAGTAATGCTTGCCCTCCTTCCTGACCACTCACAATCCCTTTCTTCCTGATTTTCAATGCATTCCTATCATAAAACCATTAGCAATGCTTTTACAGTAGTTGTATTCTTTTGCTAATGTTTGCATTAATTCCTGACCACTGACAATCCCTTTCTTTCTGATTTCCAATGCATTGCTATAGTAAAATCATTAGCTATGCATTTCCATTGTACATCTAATAGCCCTATTCTATCAGTAATGTTTGTGTTCATTACTGACCACGGACAATCCCTTTTTTTCTGATTTCCAATGCATTCCTATAGTAAAATCATTAACTATGCATTTCCGTTATACATATAATAGCCCTATTCTGCCAGTAATGCTTACATTTATTTTTGACCATTGACAATCCCTTTTGTCCGTATTTCTACAAATAATCGCCCTATATGTCAATAATGTTTGCATTCATTCCTGACCACTGACAATGCCTTTCTTCCTGATTTTCAAAGCTTCCCGATAATAAAATCATTACCAACGAATTTACATAATACATATAATATCCCTATTCTATCCGTAATATATTAATTCCTGACCCCTGACAATTCCTTTCTTCCTGATTTGCAATGGATTATTATAGTAAAATCATTACCAATGTATTTACATTATGCATATAATAGCCCTATTCTATCAGTAATGTTTGCCTTCATTCCTGACCACTGACAATCCCTTTCTTCCTCATTTTCAATACATTCCTATAGTAAAATTATTAGCCCTAATCTGTCAGTAAGACATTCAATCCTGACCACTGACTATACATAAGTAACTTCATTTGAGGTTTCCGAAAATAACCAACTATCATATCTTTATAAAACTTAGAATAGGAATTATGTTTCCAACTAATCCAATAATAAGTTTATGTTAGTAAAAAAATACCGCTGTCTTAAATTCTAAAATATCCAAAAATATTTATAAGTTTCTAAAACAACACACACACTCGCGTGCGCACACACACACAGAGGCACGTACACACAAACACACACATACACACACACACACACACACACATTGTCCTCATCTTTGTCGCCATATTTATTACAACGTTTCGGCCATTCAGTATCTGTCTATATTTCTGAGATGAGGTATAATGTACACTATTTACATTATTCGGACTATTGTCCTCATCTTTGTTTCCATATCTATTAAAAAATTTCGGCCGATGCACGCTCCAGCCTTCTTCAGGTGGTTGGAATATCGAACTGAACCCTTTATTTCGCTCACTGGGGTAGACTGTTCTAGTTCCACATGCCATGTTTAATGGATGTCAGTTATCAGTTATCTCCTGTTAATTTTCCCTCTGAAAGTTTTCCACTGCCTTAACCGGGTATTGAACTCACACTCTTTGGGTCGTGTCACTGGATCTATCTAACGGATACATGGCACAGTGGATAAAGGCGTTAGAGAGAATTAACAGGAAATAACTGATAACTGACATCCATTAGACATGGCACGAATAGTCCGAATAATGTAAATAGTATATATATATATATATATATATATATATATATATATATATATATATATATATATATATATATATATATATATATATAGCGAGTGTAGCAGCAAAAATTCCCTTTTTTTCTACTTTTTTTCAGATAAGACATTTAGCAATCTTGACCATATTAGTCATAAGAATCACTGAAAAACCCGGTGGAAATAGAACACGTTAAAATCATTTTGTTTCAGCCCCTCTACGTCTTGCCGACTGAGTAATGGTGAGAGGGAAAAGATCATTCAGTCCTTCAGTACTGGTACCAACTCTTACACCCTATCTTCCATCTTTAAAGTCCATTCAAGAACCATCAAGAGAACATTGAATAATTTGAAAAAGAAGGAACAGTACAGAGGAAAATTTATCAAAATGTCACAAAAGCAAAATGGATCATCATTTCGAGTTCGAGCTAAGTACATTATTATTGCTCAAAGTAGAGTCTAACAGTGTTATAAAAAAAAAACCTCGGAGAATTCCAGTAAGATATCTTTAATCATTTCTAAGATACAACGGTTCAAAGCTTAATCTAACAATTGGACAATTTTGTTGTCACACGATTTGGATAATTTTGCTACTACACTCAGTATATATATATATATATATATATATATATATATATATATATATATATATATATAGTCAAGAAACTACAGGGTCTTCTAAACAGGATATTATAAAAAGCGAGATTAAACTATTAAACATCAACTACAAGGAGACTAAAAGTATGTTAGTTTGCAAGAGAAAAATCCTGCAAACTACAAGTTGAAGATGTCAACAGAAGTAAGTACAGGAGATTACATATCTGGGAAGTGTTTTAACATAGGATGGAAAATATGGCCCTGAAATCCGATCACGCACTGAACTAGCATTCCAAAAGCTAAGCCAAGTGCAGAAAAACGGAAAAAAATTCCTAAGAATCGAAGAAAAGAATTGCTATGTGATATACATCCTTTGATATGGCAATGGATGTTGGATGATCACCATCATGGATGTAGAGTGTGGAATATTAGTTAGCTTGAAAGTGGTCTGACATACAAGTATACTGGTGTACTTGCTTCCAGCTGAATGAATGTAACCCCGAGTCATTTAATGGGTGAATAGTGTCCACTCATGCAAATGTGTTGGGCAGGTCCATTCCAGCAAAATGGACTAACCCACCAGTTGTATTAGGTACTCTCCTATAAATGAGGTAGATTAGCTGGCTTGCCTTTACAACGAGATACAAGAAGGCAGCCATGTTAGCAGGTAAGTCATTTGACTTCTACATAGAGTAAACTAAATATAAGACAAAGATACGAAAGATGTGGTTCTACAGAAGGATGCTGAGAATTTAATGGATGGAGGATTTAAGCAACAAGGAAGTATTAACTAAAAATGCAACAAAAAGAACGTTTATACATAGAACTAGACTGAGACAGCTGAAACTATTTAGACACATAATGATTTGGATTGGTTAGTTTTGTTTTACGGCATATTAACCTCAATGAGTTATTTAATACCGACAATAATTTTAGGATGAATTCGTATGAATTCTCTGGATAAATTCGTATAAATTCGTATGTATTCTTTGGTTTAGATTAGTTTTGGTTTTACATTATTCAGACTATTGTCCTCATCTTTGTCGCCATATTTATTACAACGTTCCGGCCCTTCAGTATCTGTCTATATTTCTGAGATGAGGTATTATGTACACTATTTACATTATTCGGACTATTGTCCTCATCTTTGTCGCCATATTTATCACGACGTTTCGGCCCTTCAGTATCTGTCTATATTTCTGAGATGAGGTATTAGGTACACTATTTACATTATTCGGACTTTAGTCCTCATCTTTGTTGCCATATTTATCACGACGTTTCGACCTTTCAATATCTGACTTTATTTCTGAGATGAGGTATTATGTACACTATTTACTTTATTCGGAATATTGTCCTCATCTTTGTCGCCATATTTATTACAACGTTCCGGCCCTTCAGTATCTGTCTATATTTCTGAGATGAGGTATTATGTACAGTATTTATATTATTCGGACTAATGTTCTCAGCTTTGTTGCCATATTTATCACAACGTTTCGGATGTTGTACACTCCGGCCTTCTTCAAGTGGCTGGAATGTCGAACTGAACCATTTTTTTCGCTCGCTAGGGTAGACTGTTCTAGTTCCACGTGCCATGTCTAATGGATGTCATCAGTTATCTCCTTTCCCCCCCTTTTATTTACAATGATGTACAAGCCGCGTGGGTCGCTCAATGTAGAAGCTTACAAAATAAGAGGCACAACTTATGCGGATATGTGTGGAAGATAATGGTTAATCCTAGAGATGAACAGCTTAAGTTTGTAGCAATCGCTTTCACAAGGCAGCGGTTCGTGGGGAGAAGCTGTCTGAGTGACAGGTACATCTCACTAAAGAAATACAAAGACTAATGACGGCATTTCATTACAATGTGCTTGAGTTCAAAAAATGAACAATGGACAAATCATCATCATCTTGCGGCCTCAGCCGACATTGAACTCACCAATACTTTGATTGGTGTAGTTCATAATCTTGTCAAATAGCTGAATTCTTGATGCTTCGCTAGGGCTATCAAGGGTGTTTTTATCGTGACACCAACACTAATTGGATTGCCAACCAAGGCTCAGAGAGACTCCATTCACCCTCCTCTAAGAGCAGGTTTGAATTCAGAGTTTTCCTTCTCCTAGACCAGTTGCCATC